TAGCCAGCCCCCTCCTAGTGCCGTGAGGGCTTTACTATCCAGGGCGTGGGCTTTACTGAGACCTGTGATCGTAATTATGAATCACGTCCCTAAAAGTGTATTGAGGCCTCTTACATATTTGGCTTAACCGAGTCTGCTCAAAGTGCACTTGATGCACGTAGTCGCCCCCTACCCCCTGCCCCTCTACCCCCAGACCCCCTCCCTATTTGAACGCATTAAGTGTGATCTGAACACGGGTTTTTCGCCCTAAGCATACGCCGGCAAAAGATGCCAAAGCAAGACATTGATCCCGGCGCCGTATTTGGGGAGGGGGGAGGGAGCGAATGTAGGAGGCGTTTGTGCGCGTAGGGTTTTTCTCAGGTGGATGGGGGGCTTGTGTCTGTGTTCGACCATCGATTTCGATGACGGCTTGTAACCTCCCCCAGGCAGCGCACGGAATGCCACCCATATATGCAATCACGGTGCAGTAGGACCAAAGGCTATTAGCCTCTATCCCTTGGTCCCACTGGAACCATTCTATCCTTTGGTTCCGGAACAATGCTATTACGGTATGCTAGCAGTGTTTCTCAATATGCTGCATTCACATTTTCGTTTCATATAAACACTTTAAGGCTCACACAAGCCTTTTCTTTAGTAAAATGACTCTCAATAGTCAGAATACTTAAGTGCTTACATCTATTTTCCAACCATCACATAGCCGAGTATTCTGAAAACGGCAGATCCACATGAAATCTTATAAATATGAGCAGAATGTTGAGGACATTTCTCAAATGTCGCTCGCTATTCCTATTAATAACCCTATTCTTTCGTCAATAATGCATGATTCTGGCTTTGGTTCAAAACCGTACAATTTTTAGACAAATAGTAGGAAATACTTCAGCGCCTGAATATTCAACGTTTTTCCATTCATTGCTTGGGTTTAATCCTCAGAAGTAAAGGAGTAGTGTGATATGGCAACGAGTGGCACATATTTAATCCCTCGTGATGTCTCATGTGTAGGGAACTCATTCTTTTCATAAATAAATAGATCCTACAACGCTCAATGGCAAGATGCTCAAAAAACTCTGCAAAAAATTACTTCACTAGAAGCAGCCATTGCAAAACAAAAACCCCTTACAGTACGCTCTATTTCACACAGATTTATCATTTTCAGGATAATGCGCTTGCATTCCAAACAGTGGCAACATTATTTGTATGTTACGGGCAATCATTACGCTCGATTGAAACATGTTACGATCAAATTGTTCATCCGCAAAAAAGAATGCTTCTAAGAAAAATTCTGGATAGTATTATTGGAAGAATATTGGAACTGAAACAAGAGATGGTCAACCTGGATGTGTCTGAATATCACTACATTGACGATGTCCTTTCCGATCTTAAAATAACACCAACGGATGCTCAGATTACCATACCACGCTACTACGTTCAAGATGCATGGAAGGTTATTCAAGATCGCGCTGCCTTTTTGAGTACGATTAGAACTAACTTTGAGGGAGAGGCCAAGGAGGTATAAGTGAGGATCTTTTCGACTTATGTACACAGTCTAATGACGAAGTATAATCTGCATGAACCCTTGGATTTTATTTAACAAAAATATCAGGTTGTGTAGCAATTGTTAAGACACCAGCGCAAATAAAAAGCAGATTCATCTAAATTGACTTATCATCTACTGCTTTTATTTAAGCGCCGATAATCCCCTTCAGATAGTTTAACAGGATCAACTATTACTGGAAGGATCCTTTCAATTTTTCGCGTGAGATGTCTGATCTATCTGTGAAATATTATCTCAGATGTCATATTATAAGCAGTGGTTTAAAAACGGGAGTAAATCCATCATGCAATGTAGGTAGCCTATTTCAGTGTCCTAAGACAAACTCAATGACAGCCATATTTAGCCCTGAGCTTTAGCACACAACGACTTCCAAAAGGGTAGGTCGGTATACCTCTGTTCTACCGAAACACTCACAGTCCTCAACCTTTGCCGCAAAATTAACATATTTTTAATATAATATTTATATTAGTGAGGAAAAGTATTAAACTCTTCCACTGTGTTCACGCAGTAGGCTTTTATTTGATGAGCCTGCTGACCTAAATTTTTTACTTTATATATAGCGAAGCTCATGCGTTTCAGGTAGCTTTAAATGCTTTAGGTTTATCTGCAAATGCTTCACTAACTTTGAATTCTCTGTTGATATTCCTACATTATAAGTATTTCTATTTTTTCCTTGTATGCTATAAGGAAGAGGTTCTGATGCCCATACCTGACGCGGTCCTTCTTATCCAAAGACATGAGCGGGCTCGACAAGGTCGACTGAGAGCCAAGTTTATGAAGGAAATTAGAGCACAAGAAGAAGCGGATGCAAATCTTACCACTGAAACAAAGGTTCTGCTGAACCCAAAAGATGCAGCAATTTTGATTCAGAAGGGGAGTTGGTTCCATAGTTTTTGTCGCTTTTTTCGTCTCACCGCAGACTAACTAAACTATGAATCAAAACACGTGCCCGTTTATATATGAAACTGCCTATTCTCTATTATAGACATGGCGCGCCTTCTTAGCTAGAAGGTACACTCGAAGAATGCGGACGGACGAGTTTGTGTGGCTTGGAATGGTAATTATTTACGAATTTATTTGTCATTTTTAGAAGCATTTGATAGTCAGTTGACTGTCTACAGTATTTAATCAAACACTAAAAAAATTGCTTAAAATGTAGTCTTGTTTGCTTTATAAATTATGGCCCATAAGATGCTATTATGTTGTTCTTTTCGAGAATAGTTTTAGTCTGTACAGGTTTTCAAGCTAATACGTTTATTTTTTCCTAGACTACATATATTACGTTTTAATTATGTAATTTTACTGTATGTAGGAACCTTCCAATCCGCACTACATTACAACCGTAACCGGTCCCACAAAAATGGCCAAAAGGATTGAGGGACTTCGACGCATAGCGCAAGCTATGAATGCACAAGAGTATGAACAAGCCCTAGTCGCAATTAAGGAGAAAATTCGTCAGAATGAAGGCGTCGAAATGCAGGACAGAATGCAAGAACAAATTCGTCAGTGGTTTTTGGAATGCCGGTGAGATATCCATACAGTCTCTATTTGAGCAAAATTACATAGTGAAGTTAATTATAATTTCCGAGATATTCAAAGATATACCTACAGACCCTCATGACGTACATATATATTCGCAAAATTGTAAGAACTTCTCAAGTTATCTTTAAGCACGATTTACTAAGTATCTCAAAATAGGAGTGCGGACGAGTGGGTCCTCTCAGAGGACCCACTCGTTCGCACACTGTATTTTT